AGGAGGGACACGGATCCAACAAACACATGGAGGCACCCAGTCTACCCACTATCCTGTCCACTTCATTGACAGAAACAGGGTCAAACTCAACTCTGATACTACTCCCAAGACATGCCCCAGTCTCCTGGATGGATTTTGTCCAGTCAGAGTCCAATCCAGTTCGGATCTGAGCGATTTTATCTTGCAGAAACTGTACAAAATCCTCAGCTCTGCCCTGTAAGAGGTCTTCGCTCGCTCCCTGATTGAGAAGAGAGTGGGTCACTCTAAACAGGGCCACTGGGCGGTTTTCTGCAGATGCAATGAGAGCGGCGAAGTGATCCCGCTTCACCACTTCCATTGCCACAAGATAAGAGTTGGGCCAGTCTTTCTCCAAATATATTTTCCCCTGTTTCCATGATGTTCAGCCTATCCCTTGCCAAGAGTCTTTCTTGTAGGTAATGCAATCCATGGTCCAGGCGACACCAACCCTTTAGCCAGTGGATTATTTTTAGAATTCTTTTTTCCCTCAGTGGGTGTTGACCTTTTGTTGGGAGTACTGATGAGAACACTCCTAGCTCCTTAACTTTATTGCCTAGTTGCTTATAATATCTCAATATTGTACTCAACTGCATCCTTGATTTTTGTTCCAGGGAAACAACATACCTCCCTAGATTGTATGTCTGGTCTGCAGATGGCTAGTTCTGTTCCTTTGAGAATAGAATCTCCTATCACCAACACTTGCCTTCCTTTTGGGGGGGGGTGTATTCTGGGGTGCTTTTCTGTTTATTTCAAGTGTGTTTGTTGATGTGACTTTTTAAGGGATATTTGATTATGTCTCTTTTCTAGATGTTTGCATGTTTTCTTTGAGGGGGAGATTGTGGGTCTGCATATTTTCACCTAGGGGGAGAAATCAATTGATCAGCTTTAATGGAGCTGCTTCTGGTTGGGTTAAGTTGGGCAGTAAGGGTTTGTTAGATGTATGCTGCTTTTTTTCTTTGATTATTGTGCTTCCCTCTATGTGTGACATACCTTCATTTGTCTTCCTTCAAGGGTTTATCAGCAGGGTCAAATCCTCTGGGAGTTACTTGTTCATTATTTGGGTTGATTTGGGTATAGCTTTCTTGTGTAGGTTGGAGTTGGCTCTAGATTCCTTACTTTTTCCTCTAGTAGTTCACATAGTTTACATTTAATACATGTATAATTTGGGTGTTCTTTGTGCATAAATGCACACATGGAACATATATTGCATACCGCAATAATATCAATCTGTAAGGATCGCCTCTCCTTCCAACTTAAGAAAGTACGAACTCTTGAAACATGATTGTTCAAAAGGATTCTTTTATTAAGCAGAAGTGACAGCCATCCAGCTAAAGCAAGATCTGAATACCCTTAGGCAAAGCAGTAGGATTAAAGTGGTAGAGACCCCTCCCTTTAAGTCAGAATGCAGATTTTAGCCAATACGCAAGTGTGAAGATGTTTTCTTTACTATTTCCTATGAGAACCTGAACAAACATGCATTCCCACCGTTTACTTTAAAGTGAGACAACCCACATGGCTATCATAAAAATTCCTGCAGGTAAAGGAGATCTCAGGGCTCTTTGGCACCAGAATATAGGTTGTAAAGTATATGTTGACACAGGCAATGCTAGGAATCGAATCCAACTGTCTCCCCTCCTCCAACTGAATGGCAGTATCACTTTTAGGGATTTGACACAATCACCTGTTCCATGAGTTTGTTTCTTTCTGCTGGTTCTTTTAAGGGTAAAAAATTATGTAAAACTAGAGATTTTATCTCAATATATGTTTGAAGAAAGAGGGAAAAATAGTTTTAAAATGTTTCAGTTTGGTTGTTCATTTAAGGATGTGAAAGATTTTGCCAATTTTCCAGAAGAAAATTTAAGTTAATAGTTTTAAAATGTACTAGTTCTTTCAAAGTTTTCAAAATTTAAAAGTTTTAAGGTTTAAAAATCTAAAATTTGAAAATCCCTTTTTTGCTTGGTGGATGTAGTTTGTTCTCAGCTTTGTTTCTACCATCTCTCTCTCTCCCCCCCCTTTCCCTCTCTCTCTCTCTGTCTCTCTCTGTGTATCTGTCTGTCTCTCTCTTTCTTTCCCTTCCTCCCTCTCTCTTTCCCCCTCTTTCTTTCTCTCTCTCTCTTTCTTTCTCTTTCTCTTTTCCTCCCATTCTCTCTTTCTCTCTTCTCTCTCTTCCCCCTCTCTTTCCCTCTCCCTCTTTCCCTCCCCCCCTCTCTCTTTCCCCCTCTGTCTCTCTCTCTCTCCCCTCTCTCTCATGTGTGTGTGTATGTGGTGTGTTCCCTCTTGAACCATTTCAAAAACAGGCGAGGGTTGGGTGTTTTGTTTTGTTGTTGTTGTTGATGATGTTATTATTTCTTCTTCTTTGGGTGCTTTTTACCATATGATTTAAATCAAGAGTCATTTCAGGTTCCCAAATAAATGAAGCTCTTTCATCTCCCTTCTGTGGCTCCCTGTCAGCTGAACCCACCACTGGCTGGCCCCACCCCTCGCCCTCCCCTCCCAGTCACTCCTTGCCTGGCTTGAGAAGGTTAGGGTGACGGCAGGGAATGTAGACTCATTCTATCTTCCAGAGCAGGAGTGAAGCACCCCTGTACTTGCCTGATCTTGTGGACGCTTCTTCCAGCCCTTGTTGGTGCTGTGCGCACCTCAGTCACTCAGGGAGATGCATGACTTGCTCTCTCCTTGCACAGCACAGTTACATTTAACATGCTTCACAATGGGTGAAACAGCATTCCCGCCTCTTCCTGGAGCCCATTACGACATGGAGCATCAGCCGCAGCCAGGCTGGGCCAGTGGGTGGAGAGCAAGTCGTGCATCTGCCCACATGACTGAGGTGCGTGCAGTACCAACAAGGGCCAGAAGAAGCACTGGCAAGACCCAGCAAAAGATAAGGCAAGTACAGGGGCGCTTTGCTCCCGGAATATGGAGTGAGTCTCCATCCCCCGCCATCACCCTTACCTTCTCAGACCAGTGACTGGTCTGAGGGGAGGGCGAGGGGTGGGGCGGGCAAGGGGTGGGGCCAGCCAGTGGTGGGTTCATCTGACAGGGAACCACAGCAGGGGGATGAAGGAGCTGCATGCAGCTTGAAATCCATGGGTTGCCGACACCTGGTCTAGGCAATTACCAAATATACTATGATCCACCAGTTCACTGCCTCCAGCAGCCTCCCTTCTTGTTTGTTGTTCAGCTGCCAGTTTGCTTCTCTCAGTTGCCTCTGTTCCAGCATTGGGCTGCTTAGTTGAGCTCCTGAGCTTGTTCTATTGTTCTCTGTTGCCTGCTACATCCGACTCTGATGAGTTGGCCATGGTGAGTTGTCCTGCAGCAAGTTGGACATGATGAGTTGACTGCAAAGAGGTGGCCATGGCAAGTTGGCCAGAGTGAGTTGGCCGCAGCCAGTTGGGTGTGGCAAGTTGTCCCATTCCTACCAACTGGATTGAGAGCATTGTAATGAAAACAGGAAAAGCATGTTTATGTTTGATTTAAAAGGGGAGACAGGAGAAAGAAAAATAGGGACCAGAATCTATAAGGTATAATAAAAGGTACGTGTAGTGAAAAAGTCCTTATTTGACTGATTTTAGTCTTTGAACTTTAGATGATCTCCTATAATAATTTGTTAGGCTAATTTACAGAGCTTTAAATTCCTGTTAATTCTTGTTACTTTTTTTTGCAAATAAAGCAAACCTGGAAATTATTTTTTCTGTTATAATCTAGCAAAAAATCTATTATTTTCCTGTCTTCCTTGGTTTCTCATCCTCAAGGTGTTATTTTTAAAAAGGACAAAGGAAGGCATAGCTCATACAGTACATAATGCAATGACTGTATTTATATTATCCCTGAAAAATTCCTGTTGTATCTGGATCTATTCCACAAGAATAGAATGTATCTTAATAAATATATTGAATTAATAGTCTTCTTAGATATTGCTTCATGGGCATAGGTTAAAATGACAAACAGTTCATATTGAAAAAACTTAATCAACACTAATCTAATTAATCAGATATTTCTTTGATTTTTTAATTGTATTTTCATGTTTGCAATTTTTCAATCTGAATTACTTTATTCAGAGAGGGGAGTGGAGGGGGGAGGAGAATAAAGTGATAGCAATAGCAACATGTAGGTTATTAGGGATTTGGTCTGTAACTCTATTTTGTCTTTCACTCTGTTGCTTTTCTATAAGAGTGTTAATTAAGTTGTCTTTTCTGCCTTTGTTCCTAAGGTATAAATGTGCAGGGCACTCTGACTGCCTGTCTGCCTGTCAGATAGAATTTATGTGCTCACAGTTTGTTTTTTTCCCCTCTCATCTTGCATTTTTATGAATAAACCTTTGTGTTAAAGTTATAAACTTGCTTCAATATTCCTTGCTCGGGCTAGATTCCAACTCTCTAAAACCTCATACAAACACAAAATTTTTCCAATGATTTTGGTAAGTTAATACCAGCTTTAGTATTATGCATGAACACAGGCAATTATATATAAATCTTTAACTCAGATCAATGAAAAAAACTTTCTGACTTTTCAAATCAAAATTAAAGCTTGCAAGAAGTTTGATTTTTTTTCCAGAAATTCATGATTTTACATACTTTCCAGTTTTATTTTTAGACTGTTGTTAAAACTAATGTTTGATTTCTCCTATTTTCTGTTTCCAGAAAATTAAGGCATATGTTAGGTTCATAATTTAAGGGATTATTAAATATATAGCAAATATTGTGTTTGATAAATGCATTCTTAATCACAATGCCTAAAATAAACAATAAAATAACTAATTATGGTAGTGTTTATTTTAATTGAGCACTAGATGGTAGTGTTGTGTTGGTAAAATTAATAGCATTCCGCTATTCTACCAGATACCCTAATAAAAATAGTTGTCCTATATCCTAACATAAAAACTTGCTTCCAAAACCTAAATGTAGAAACTCTATCATCTGGAAGGCTAGTCTTGAATAAATAAATAAATGGTGATAGGAAAAAGAGTAGATCTACACATTAAATTCATTTGAAAGAATATTTTATTTTATTTTATTTTATTTATTTACTTTGCTTTGCTTTGCTTTGCTTTGCTTTGCTTTGCTTTGCTTTGCTTTGCTTTGCTTTGCTTTGCTTTGCTTTGCTTTACTTTACTTTACTTTACTTTATTTTATTTTATTTTATACAAGCATATATGCAAATAATCTAATGGCACAAGCAACACATTTTCAAAATATATTTTCTCTTTGAATTGCAAAATTCTTAGAGCAAACCACATCCCTCCCCACTATACTCCCAGAAAGACAAGCCTTTGTGTGACATAAAATGATAAAGCAATCTGTAAACTACCAAACCAGATAAAGCTGGAAAGCATTTTCAACATATTCTCCAAATATATGCCTATGCATGTGCTGAATTTCAATGCCCAGATGCTACACACATAGTAAATCATTAAATAAATAAAATGTCATATCATTTAGCAGATTGAAGTAGCTACCTCAGATACAGATAGTCCTCAATTTACCACAGTTGATTTGATGACCATTCAAAGTTACAATGGCACTGAAAAAAGTGACTTATGACCATTTTTCACACTTACAACCAGTGCAGCATCCCCATGGTCACATGATTAAAATTCAGATGCTTGCAGCTGATTCATAGTTATGACAGTTTCACTGTCTCGGAGCCATGCGATCACTTTTTGTAATCTTCTAACAAGCAAAGTCAATGGAGAAGCCAGGTTCACTTAACAATCGTGTTACTAACTTAACAACTGAGATGATTATTTAATAACTGTGGCAAGAAAGGTCATAAAATGGGGCAAAACTCACTTAACAAATGTGTCACTTAGCAATAGAAATTTTGAGCTCAGCTGTGGTCACAAGTTGAGGACTATCTGTAGCTGGTTTAAAATGGAACAAAAGGGAAGCCAATAGGCACTTTTACACTGATTATTGCAAAACTTCTATTCTTATGGATAGCTACCATATTTTTCAGAGTATAAGACACACTTTTTTCCCTCCTAAAAGAGGCTGAAAATTTGGGTGCGTCTCATATTCCGAATGTAGCTTTTTCGAAGCTTTTTTTCAGACCTAATGAGGCGAGTGGACGCTCAGCTGTGCTTTAGAAGCTTTTTTTCAGCCCTAACGAGGCACTAGCGAGTGAAGCAATCTATGCTGTGCCTGCTCCCTCCGACTCTCAGCTGTGAAGCTTTTTTCAGCCCTAAGGAGGCGCTAGCGAGTGTAGCGATCTCCATGGTTTGCCTGCTTTTCTCATTGCTTCTCTCTCTAAAGATCAGTTGTGCTTTAGAAGCTGTTTTTTGTCCCCAAGCAGGGGATAAAAAACAGCAGACTAATGTGCTGAAGCTGACCAGGCTAAGAACTAGCCAGATGAATACCTGGTAGGCAGATTTTTTCCCCATTTTCCTCCCCAAAAAGTAAGCTGTGTCTTATACTCCAGTGCATCTTATACTTCAAAAAATATGGTATTTGAACTATCTGAAAGATTTGCTTATTCCTCATCTTTTTTCCCATCCAAATTCAAAACTAAAATTGTCACGCAAGAAAAGGAGAGCAGGTAAGATTCACCAATGTTTACAAACAAATAAATTTAAGCAGCGATGAAATGAGTGGTTTTCTCATTATATTGAATGCATAGTGTAATTAAATATAATATTCAGAAAAATGTTATCACAAAGACATTGGCCTAAAGAAAAGAATTCTTCATTTTACTCTACATGTGTTGCCTTCTATTCTCTAGGTCTATGTAGTGTAGAGTAATGTAGTTAAGTGCGATATTATGATTAAAATGGTAGTCTGTGAGTGGGGAGACTGATACTCAAGCCCCCACTTAGCCATGGAATGGAATGGCCATGAATGACTCTGCCCACAGGATTGTTCTTGTAGGGGTAGAATGCATGGAGATCTCATGAAAGTCACCTTGAACTCTTAGAGGAAAGGTGGGAAATAAATCAAACAAAAAAATAAACCCACCCATACTCACACACTCAAATCAGAAAGAGACAAAGTACAGTAATGAAATGAAGATGGAATTCAAAAGGAGTGCCTTCTTTTCAAGAAAAATGGTATTTGCATAATTCTGAGAAACGTAGATGTCTTGAAACTACATATATGAAAACCAGTAATGCTGTAGTGTGAAGATATGTGTTAGATCGAAGCTTGGAGACTAGTCCTCCTTAGGTACAGAAATTGACTGAGTAACTTGGGCTAGTCACTTTTTCTTATCTCCACACTGCAGTTAAAAAAAACAACCTACCAATCTATGTTGAACCACCATGGTAGTTATGAGATCACCATCATCACCATCAGCCTGTACTGCTTCATGTTTAACCTGCAATCTCACTCCCAATATCAAAACCCACCATAAATGGAATTCAAATACTCTAATCAAACATTACACATTGGTATAGTAGACCATGCCATTCATCTATTAGGAGACAGAAAGCAGAAACAGTCAACCTGCAAATAGTCATGAACGTACATGCAAATTTTCAGTCTTTTATATAGACATAGGAAAGAGTTTTCTGCTGCTGCATCTGGGGCATCTTTGATGAATCAGGGAGAATGTGTCTAAGCAGAATGCTTCCATTATATTTGTTTAATTGCATACTTGTTTGTTGGCTGAATAATCTGTATAACTTTCAAAGTCTCCTTCATTAATAAATAGAAACCTGGCCTATTTCCTATTCCAATGCTCAGAGATATGCTGAATCTTCTTCATTCTGCCCCTCTGGTCAAGCAGTTTGTATTTCACCAAGTAGTCCTCAGTTTTCTTGTGGAAAGGTGGGAAGGTAGTATTTGCAGAGGCAAAATTAGATTTCTTGGCCTGATGTATTGTAGGTTTGATAACTAGATAGAAGATAAAAACAGAAGTAATGGAGATAAATCAGCTGCTGAGCCATATTAACCCCTATTATACTATTCTTCAGCCATATCGTACACCATACATGAGAAAGTAAGAACCAGATATTTGCATATACTGAGCAAAAGGAGGAAAATGAGGACAAAAGAGGATACAAATGGAGAAAAGTTTAGGTGCATAGCTTGTAATTATTTATCTTAGAATATTTCTAAACTTACAATTGTAACATAGCTAAAGAGCATATTATTTATTTTAAAAATTCTTAATATTTGTACTGAACCCATAAACTGTGCTACAGAAGCATGGATATATGTATTGATATACAAAAGTAACAGAATCTTGATTGTCTTTATCATGAGAACAGTGAGCACCCACATTAGATCAAGACCTTGGATAGTTATTCAATAAATTAAAACAAAGTCTTGGAGCCATGAAGAGAAATCTGTTTTGCTTGATTACCTACAATCCCTAAGTTATTGAGGCACTTTGATTGATTGCAGTACAGCTCTTAGCCCATGTAAAATCAACGTCAAATCTCAGACAACTGGCAGGCTGATGCAAGATGTTTTCTGAGTTAAAGGATTACCCACCCATTTTTAAGTTGGCATTAAGCATCAGCATAACAATTGGTCTCCCTTATTACCAGTTCCAGTCCAGCTGGGCTATGTCACTGTCAAGTGGCATTGTATGGATCCATTATGATAGGAAATCATTTCTCTTCTGGTTTCACTACCATCCCAGTTTAACAAATAATCAGCCAACAGTGAAAATATCCTCTAATCAGGACCCAGTAACAGGAATGATGTATCATGCACAGGCCATGCCCACTCCAGCTCCATAAAGGGAAAAAACATAGTGAAATGTCACATGACGTCAATGTGACACCGCGAGTTTGACACCCATGTCTTAAACCCTTGAGCTCAGGATAAGACAAGGACAACATGAACTTCCAGTGGTGACGTCAGAGCGGAGTGGGTGAGGGTGCGATTTATAGCTCCCGAAAACCCAATTAATTCCTGAAAAGGAGCCCTTAGAATAAAATAGAATAAAACTTTATTATAGTCATTGACCAACAATAGACATACAATAAATTAAAAATAATACTGACATTAATCATGAATAATAACATCTCTGTTATGAAAATACATGATCTCAAACCTAATTTACATGCGTGTAGAGCCGATAAGTATGTGAGTAAATGTATTGTTATAGATATGTCAAAAAAATTGGCACCAGTTGTCATTATAATTCGGTAACTAATTTTTTTCTTGTGAACATTGCAGTGACACAGAATTTTGCCACTGCACATGTGGTAGCTGGATTTGAGTCTTGGAGGAGAAAGCCTACATAAAAGTTGTCTGTCCTCCCTGGCAATCTCTCTAGTAAGGGGAGAATGTATATTGACCTATGCACTCTGTATAATTCACAGTACAATAAAACATGTGAGATATTGTCAACTTCTCCCTTTCCAGATATGCATACCCGTTCTGCTATTGGTGTTCTTTTGTACCTACCCTGGAGAAGTGCTGAGGGGAGAATATTAAATCTGGCTCTGAAGAAAGCTATTCTTTGTTTTGGGAAGATCAGATCATTTAGATATCCTGCTGATTCCCACACACCCTGCTTGAAAAAAAAAGATTCTGTCCCTACTGTGGAGAGACAACCTATTTAGTTCTTCTTGGAACTCCATGTCCTTCAGTCTATCAATTACCACTTGCTTTTCTTTGTCAAAGCTGAGGGACATTAAGAATACCAATGAGAGCCCATAAGAGCCCAGCTTGTGATCTATCGCCTGTTTCCAGGGGAGGGGAAGTTGTCAGTCAGCTCTAGTGGGGACAGTCTCTCTGGAAAGTAATGAATTTTTAGCCAATAAATGATCATCATCTTCCAGGCTCTTACCTGAATTTGAGGCATACCTGTCTCAATTCTTAACTGGGCATTTGGAGTTCCTTTGGGTGTAGCTAAGATGGCTTGCAGGAATTTGGTTTGTATAGTTTCTAGCAAGTTTTTCTTTGCAAGGATTCCTGTTTGTGCCCCATAAAGAATTTGTGCCAATGTTTTGGCCTCAAAAAGTTTTAAGGCAGCAGGTACTAATTGATCTTCGCCTGTATAAAAGAAGTGTTTAATTGCATTTGAGGACCTATTGGCTGCTTGCAATGTCTGCTCCAGCTGTGCCTTCCATGTCCCTTATAAGTGGAAAACAACCCCAAGATATCTAAATGTCCTAACCTGTTCCAATCTGTGTCCTTCAATTTTCCAGGAGTATTGGCTGGGTCTTTTAGCAAAAACTAAAAATTTTGATTTATCAAAGTTAAGGACCAACTTGTTCTGTCTACAGTAGCCAAGTGTTGCCCTAATTGCTCTCTTCAATCCTATGGGCGTTTGTGAAATAATAGCAGCATCGTTGGCATAAAGGAGAATTGGGATTTTGCGTTGTGCTATGTTAGGAGGATGTAGATCAGGGTTCTGTAAGAGATCAATCAGGGGGTTAATATAGAAGTTAAAAAGGGAGGGGGACTGGATGCAGCCCTGCCGTACCCCTTTTTGAACCCTTACTGGACCAATTAAAGTCCCTTGAGGATTACACCTCACTTTCAAGGTGGAATTGGCATACAATTTTTGTATGAGGAAAAGGAGGCATTTATCGATTGTAGTGCATTTTAATTTCTCCCAGAAGGTGTTCCTGGATATTGAATCAAAGGCCTGCTTAAAATCAAGGAAGGCCACGTAGAGAGAGGATTTATTTTTTTTTTGTACATATATTTTTGCACCAGATGGTGAAGTATCAGGATATGATCCACCATAGATCTTCCTTGTTCATCCTTGATTATCCCCCCTGAAATTAGCCAATCCTGGAGTTTATAGTTTAGGTGTTTAGCTTTACTAATAACACTTAAAAGGCTAATGGGTCTATAATTTCTGGATCATTTCTATTACCCTTTTTATAGATTGGTATAATAATTGCTAATCCCCAATCTCTTGGCATATGGCCCATTTTATCTATAAATGGAAACAGCGATGCTAAAAGTGGGGCCCACCAACTGGTGTTCTTTTTGATTATTTCTGGGAGGACATTATCAGCACCAGGTGCCTTATTAGCCTTAAGGGATTCGATCAGCCGGGATACCTCTTCTGGTGTGACAGGGGGCCAGTAAGCAGTTTGGTCCAAACTAATTTGGCTCTCCTTAGTTTCATAGTCGGGGTCTGTATATAACTCTCTAAAATATTCTTCCCAGGCCTGAATTGGTACCTGATTAGTTGGGGGTAGGGGTGATTTCCCCAATCCTCTGGTGATGTACCAAAAAAGGGATGTATTTTTTGTCTTGACTGATATAATTAATCTCTGCCAAGACTCCTTCAAAGCCGCACTTTTCTTTTCTTTTAGGAATGTCTTATATTGTGCTTTCAACTGTTTTAAGAAGTGAGTGTGATCCTCAGAAGGGTCATTTTTACTTCTTCTGTACACCTTATTATATATCCTTTTTAATTGCACGCAATCTCTATCAAACCATTTTTTGTTCTTTAAAACTGGCTTTTTGGAGTGAGCTAGTATTCTCTTAGTGAGAACCGATTTTAAATTTGAAATTAAAGTTTCAAACTCCTCTAAGTATGGTTCTTCAAACTTATTTCTTAGTAGAGATATATGTAATTCTATGGTTTCTGGAACTAACATCCATTTAGTAACTTTCTTTGCATTTTTCTTGGTCCATTTAATTTTTACCTGAGTATTTTGGCTCTCTAATCTGGGTAGGTAGTTTGAGCCAACCTTTAGTAATTTCTGCTGTAATGTAAGACTAAGGATAATCGTGATCGCTTTCTAGACGTGAGTCTACCTCCAACTTCTGCAAGAACTTCAGGAGGTCGTATGATATTATCCAGTAGTCAACTGTGGATTTTCTTCCTGCTCCTCGATAAGTATAGTCTGCTGGGTAGTCACTCCAAGCGTACAGTCATCTCTTTTACACACAGTCCTGCCCGATTTGCCTTAGTGTCTTTAAATTGTCTGGGATGCAGGGGTTCTTCTGGTACATTCTTATCATAATGGATCTTAAATTGATTAAATAAAGCTTGATCGTTTGGGCCCATCCTAGCGTTTAAGTCCCCCCCCCCAATAATTATTGCTGCTGTAGAGTATTTATCTAAGCAGCCCAGGATAAAATCTTCTATGCCATCCCAAATCTTGTTGATCAAATTATTCTTATTAAGTGGGGGAATATAGATATTGAAAAGCAAAATTTTCACCTGTTTAAATAAGAGTAAGGTAGTCACAACACATGGCTGCAAAGTTGGCAGTGATACACATTTAAATTGCAAGGATGTATTCACTAATGTCACAATACCCCCTTTAGCTCTTCCCCCCTTCTTACTTGGGATAGCTGGGATAGAGTTAACCCAATAATCATCTAACTGTATCTCTCCGGAGGCCCAGGTTTCCTGTAAGAAGGGAATGTGAAATTGTGATATATAGTCAAAAAACTGTTGGTCTTTTGATGGAACAGTCCAACCCGCTATATGCCAGGTTATGATGGAGAGGGGATCTTCTTTTGTAGCTCATCAGGAAATTTAATTTATACAAAGGGAAGTTGTATGGTTGTTGCAATGACTTGAGGTGTCGTCACGCACGAAATTGGTCTTCTCTAAAAGGAGGGGTGCCCATCTAAATTCTGTGTCGATTCCTGGTAAAATTGTTCAGGGTAAGAGGATTTAGCATCAGCTAACAAGACTTGCCATTCCGATGTCTCTTCTCTAGGTGTAGAGCAGGGGGTTATTTGGTTGTGCTCCATTCGGCTTTGAGCTGATGATAATGACGTGGGTCCTCTCTCAATTTCTTGATGTGGTGCTAAAGGTATCATAGGATCATCACATAAGGATGCTAACATCTCCTTCTCTACTGGGGCTTCTAATGGCCCCTGTGTATCTTGGCTTCTGTTTTCCATGATCTCATTTTCAAGCAATCCTTGCCCCTTGGGGGAGAAGTAAGAGGCTC